TTGGAGAGGTTTTTGCTATAGGGCGCGTGTGCTCACCAGACAAACAGAGAGACAGAAAGCGAGAAATCACCCTCCAGGGGGGGATGGCCACACCGCAATCCCTTCTCCTCCATTCTCCTCTCGGGATCTTGGGCACACACGCACACGCGCCTGGCGTGAGTTTTAAGCCACCAGGTCTGGGATGCGAACCATGGTTGACTACATGGGAGTCCAGCGACATAGCCATTACGCTAACTGCTGGTTCCATCACTTGCACTGTTTTTGATGAGAAACTTGCTGTCAATCTAATTTCTGTTCCTCTAGCCATAATATGTCACTTTCTGGCTATTTCAAACTTTTTGCTTTTATTACTGGTTTTGACCAATTTGATACTATTGTTCTTTGATGCAGTTTACTTTTAGCTTCCTATACTTGCGTTTGTTTAATTTCTTGGATCTTTGGGTTTATGGCCTTTATTAAGAAACATGTTTGCGTTATTTCTTCAATTATTTCTTTTTTGTCCCTCTCTCACTCCCTTTTGGGGATTTTGATAGCCTGACTATTAGGCTTATTGAAGTTGACCATCACTGATGGAGCATGACTGGCAGGCCATGACATAATTCTAATTTTCCTCTTCTCCAGAAGACTGACAACAACCTATGTAGCCAGTATGAAGAGAAGGTACGTCCCTGCATTGACCTCATCGATTCCCTGCGTGCTCTTGGTGTGGAGCAAGACCTAGCATTGCCTGCCATCGCTGTTATTGGGGACCAGAGCTCAGGCAAGAGCTCTGTGTTGGAAGCATTGTCAGGAGTTGCCTTGCCCAGGGGCAGTGGTAAGCACTTACACTCTATATTAGTCTACTAGAGCTGCCATAATAAAATACCACAAAATTAGTGGCTTTTGCTACAGAAATGTTCTTTCTCATAGTTCTAGAGAATGGACATCCAAGCTCAATGTGCAGTTTCTCCTGAGCCTTCCTCTTTGGCTTTCAGAAGGCTTCTCCTATTCTCACATGGCCTTTCCACTGTACACAAGAATCTCTGACTTCTTTTCCTCTTATAAGGGTGCCAGTCATGTTAGATTGGAGTACCACCCTTACATCTCACTTTAATTACCTCTTTAAAGGTCCTACCTCCAAATACAGTCACATTGGAGGTGAGGGTTTCAACTTCCACCACACACCTTATTGCACTTCTTTTTTTTGCCATAGAGCACGTGCACTCACCAGAAACAGAGAGGGACAAGTGCCAAATCATTCCCCAGCAGGGGGATGGCCACACTACAATCCTTCTCCTCCATTATCCTCTGGGGATTTGGGGCATGCACACACACACACACACACACACACATGTGCCTGCCATGATTTTCAAGCTACTATGTCCAGGACCTGAACTGCGGTCAGCCATGTGGGAATCCAGCACTTTAACCACCACACTACCTGCTGGTCCCTCATTTCACATTTTTGTGCGGGTTGTATGAAATCTATCATCTGTGGAAGATCTAAATAAAGGCATTTGGGTACCCAGCCTATAATTATGTGCACATGGCCATCTTTCATGAGACCCTTCCCAAGAGGTGACCCTATCTTAGGAGATAGAGATTGGTTCTGTGGTTGGTGCTACTGTTTGAGTTGCTAGGCTGAGAATATTGGTGAGGACCTGAGGGAAAAGGTCATACTTGAGATGGGTCTTGGAATACAGGTCAGACAGGATAGGGTTTGGGAGGACTTTACAGTAGGAGGATAGTGGTAGGGTGGCCTGCGGAAGCAGCATATCTTCCAAACTGGAGCAGAGTATATATGCTGGCGGAACAGTGGAGGTTGTCTGTAGCCACCTGAGCTGATAAAGGAACACTGAGATGAGCAGAAAGCTTGTGTTGGTGGCTTTTAAGCATTAGTATATGAAAACTTTCCTGGGATTCACATTCCTGAAGTCACCCCAACACAATACATCATAGCATCTGTTTAAAGTGTCTCCCCAAATCATTGTATATAGTTTAAGAACCATTGGTCTAAGGCGCCATCTGGGACTTTCAAGAGCAGAGCATAGAACTGATGTGGCCATGGCCTTCTAGGTATTGTTACAAGATGTCCTCTGGTGCTGAAGCTGAAAAAACTTATAAATGAAGATAAGTGGAGGGGCAAGGTCAGTTACCAGGACATCGAAGTCGAGATTACAGATCCTTCAAAGGTCGAACCAGAGATCAATAAAGGTAAGCACCCATGTCTGTTGGTCAACACCTGTTTGGACACCTGGTTCCAAAGCCATCTGTGAGAGCAAATCGCTAACACTGTGGTTTACACAATGTGGATATATTCTCTCTCCTATGTAAAAGCCTGAAGGTAGGCAGACCAGAGCTGGTTTGGGGTTCCAGTGTCAGGACCTAGACTTACCTTGTTTCTCCATGTGTGACCTTGTGATTTAGCTAGTTCGCGTACCAGCTAGGGATGACGGGAAAGTGTATCTCCTTGTCTTTTAAGCATACCGTAGGAAAGATGCACCAAACATTTTCACACGTAGCCTGTTCATCTGGCAAATAGATAATGGGGGGACAATTGGCTTACTGTGCCATCTCTGTTGTTATTTTTTCCAACCCAAGTTCTAGATTGGTATCAAACATACCAAAAAGACATCCTGGAGGTCAGAAAGTGTGAAGTGGTATTAGGTTGCCATTTGATGGTGACAATTTATATCCTTGCTTTTTCATTATTAAGGAGGAAGGAACAAAATGAAATCTCTTAATGAAATTCCAATAGCCACTGCTCATCTTCACATCTCATTTTTTGGTTTATGTTGAATAATTCCCATGTGTTTTGTTTTGTTTTGTTTTCTTTTGTTTGCTAGAGGGTGTATAAGCTTGCCAGAGAGATATACAGAGAGGTCCCTCTGCAGACAAGTCTGGCTCCTGGCAGGGGGAATACAGAGTTTATCCTTTGAGGTTCCTTTGAGCTCCACTGTCAGGAAAGTGGATCTGCTCCAAATATGCTTTTATCTGTGACTCGTAAGGGAGCAGCAGGTCTTTTCAGAGTCTCCACTGTAACGAGATACTTTCACCCTAAGTTCATTTGGGTTTTCTTTTTTCCTCTTCTTTAGCCCAGAATGTCATTGCTGGAGAGGGGATGGGAATTAGTCATGAGCTAATCAGTCTGGAGGTCAGCTCCCCACACGTCCCAGATCTGACACTGATAGACCTTCCTGGTATAACCAGGGTGGCTGTGGGCAATCAACCTGCTGACATCGGCCGTCAGGTGAGACTTCACACTCCATTCTGACTTCAGCCTCATGTGAAGGGGCCACGTCTTAGGGCTCTGGGCTGAGTGTGTACAGTGTGTATCTGGAGGTATGACTGGGGACTTTGGCTGAATCTCCTCAGTCACATTTGATGGAAGCTTCTCTGGAGAAAGCGAAGCAAACAGGTCAAATCAAACCATATTTTGTGTTTTTTTGTGTTTTATCTGATGTCTCCTCCTTGGTAATAGTTAGATTTTGTGGCATGTTTACACTGGTGTGTACTAGGAAGGTGAGTTATACAAGAAGGGAGAGCATTAGAAATAGGTGTAAAGGTACCTTTCTCTTGGCTGCACTTGGACTAGGTGATGGCCAAAGGGCTAAGCTATGGCCCACATGAGCAGAGCATCCTGGTTTCTGAAACAAGATGACATTTGGGACACACGTAATTGTAGAAGGTTTTATGGAAGTAAATGTAAGCTTAGAAACATGGCAATATTTTCAGCCCATTTTGGGACTCATTTGGAGCTCTACAGAAAGCCACAACTTCATCCATTTCTGAAGAAAAGCCAATTTACGCATAATGCTGGGTACAACATGGCCCTAGATGAAAAAAGAATCATATGACACAGTACGATACCCACAACTTTGTGAAATTTTCTAATGAGAATTTCACCAGTTGGCTGCTGGTTAAAGTAGGAGAATTTGTCTATAGAAACCCCCAAGTTCAAGGCTTGGTCATCAATGAAGAGATGATAAAATAGTCTGTTAGTTTCAAAGAGATTTCTGAATCTATGTGTAGCCAGAGCTGTGGTCATGAAATCCAGAAAACTTACCAAGAAAGAAGGCCTGATTGCTGCTTTATTTGTGTTTCTTGCACAGTGAGACATTGCAAATCAAACAGGTATTAAGTAAATGCTCTTTGACAACACCACCCCGACCATTTCTCAATAAAAAGGAAACAAATGATATTGGAATATAGAACACCATTGTTCTCAATTTACATGTTCACTCATTAGTTCAAAATGGTTATAAACACTATTACTACCCTTAAAAAGTAAAAAGAGAAACAAGTGTAAAGATTCTTGAGTATCCAACTGAAGATGTAGAGATTGAGTCTAGCATGTTTTCAGCATCTTGCTTTCTCCTGTAACCACAGAGTTGAAGTCCTCAGGGGGTTTTTGCTTGTTTGTTTTTGTTTATGAGAGTTTTTTTTTTTTTTTTTTTTTTTGCTATAGGGCACGTGCGCTCACCAGACAGACAGAGAGACAGAGAGATAGAAAGTGAGAAATCACTCCCCCAGGGAGGATGGCCACACCACAGTCCCTTTTCCTCCATTCTCCTCTCGGAATCTTGGGCACACACGCACACGCACCCGGCGTGAGTTTTAAGTCACCAGGTCCAGGATGCGAACCACGGTTGACTACATGGGAGTCCAGTAACATAGCCATTACACTAACTGCTGGTCCCTGTTTTTGTTTTTTTAAGTGAGAGTTTTTTGTTATAGGGCACGTGTGCTTGCTGGAGAGACAGAGAGACAGAAAGTGAGAAATCACCCCCTAAGGGGAATGGCCATGCCACAATCTCTTCTCCTTCATTCTCCCCTCGTGATTTTAGGCATGCACGCACATGCACCTGGCATGAATTTTAAGCTACCGGATGCAGGACTTAAACTGCAATCAACTACATGGGAGTCCAGTGACATAACGATTATGCCATCTGCTGGTCCTGGTCTTCAGGGTCTTTAAGCAGCTAAAATCTTTGTTCCCTGATTCTATAGCTCTGTTTTCTGCAACAGAGGCTTAGTTTCTTCTAACTCTGACCTGGGAGGTGCCACTAGGTCTGCATTTGGATTCATTTCCATTTCTCCATAATTACTTTAGGGGAAATCCCTCCAGGACTCTTAGGACCTGAAGGAAGGGCAAGGTCAGGCTTGTCTCAACACTCACCTCTCTGCAGTCCTCACAAGTCACAGTCTATTGTCTCCTAACAGATCAAGACCCTCATCAAGAAATACATCCATAAGCAGGAGACTATCAACTTGGTGGTAGTCCCCTCGAATGTGGACATTGCCACCACAGAGGCGCTGAGCATGGCCCAGGAGGTGGACCCTGATGGAGACAGGACCATAGGTGAGAAGGGTAACCTAAGAATGGTGGGTAGTCTGTCCATAGGAAGTCACTCTTGAACTCAGAAGGTCACTGCTAGGCCAGCTCTGGGGGCAGGGTACCTGTATCCCACAGGTAAGAACTGCCAAGGTGACAGGTTTAGTGCCTGCCTAAGCCAGACAAAAGGAGCTCATTTGGCTCTTACTAGCCACAGGCTGACTCAAAACCTGTGTCTGCCTCCCTGTAAGTGAAATGATGAGATTAGAGGGCAGCACAAACCTAGGAGCAAATTGTATCCACTAAAAATAAACTCGAAATAATAATAACTATTTTTTTTCTTTTGGGAGAGGTTTTTGCTATAGGGTGCATGCACTTGCCAGAGAGACAGAGACAGAAAATGAGAAATCACCCCCCAGGGGGGATGGCCACGCCGCAATCCCTTCTCCTCATTCTCCTCTTGGGATCTTGGGCATGCATGCACACGCACCCAGCGTGAGTTTAAGCCACCAGAACTCGAACCGCAGTCAACTACATGGGAGTCCTGCGACATAGCCATTACGCTAACCACTGGTCCCCAATAATAATCATTTTTAAAAGTGAAGAAAAAAAGGAATAGAAAGGCAAATAATAAGGCCAAAAGAAGGAGAAGAAGGAGGAGAAGAAGAAGAAGAAGAAAGAAGAAATGGCACAAATACAGTTTTATACTAAAGACTCAAAGATACTTCAAAATAATTACTGTATCATTAAAGAGGTCCCCCCTCCCTGGGCCATTAAATAATAAAATCCTATTAGTTTCATAAAAAAAAAAAAATGAACTTGAGGGTCAGCCTTGTGATTATGGGAGCCAGATCCCACACCACGTAGTTCTAATCCTGGCCCTGGCAGCTTGAAAAGTACACCAGGCACACACATTTGGGGCACACATGTGTGCCCCAAATCCCAGCAAGATAGAAATACGATGGAGAAGGGATTGCAATGTGATCACCCACTGGGGGGATGCTTTCTCCTCACCACACTCCCATCTCTCTTTTCTCTCTTAGGTTATCACATATGTCCTTGGCCATAAATTTTAAAAATAAATAAATAGCACTTGTGGTGGAAGCAACCTAAATGTCTACAGTAGATAAAAGGATAAAAACAGCTAGTCTGTCGTATGGTCGGCCTGGGTGAAGGAGCTTGGGAAGAGATCTCATAGCTGCTAGTAGGGACACCATGTCTTCATGGCCTGCCCTGCTGTGCTATCCCCGGACAGGGGCTCCACAGGCCCCTTGGTTGTGTAGGGGCCACTGTCTGCCCTCTAGCCTGGTTAAGGGAAGCCCTATGCCCAAAGGTGTTGGGAGCCAGCAGCCAGGGCATGATCAAGCCTTCACCTTGGCCTAGAGAGCAGTACCTGTGAGCATCATCTGATGGAAAATCTCTGGCCTGCAGGAATCTTGACAAAGCCAGATCTGGTAGACAAGGGTACAGAAGAAAAGGTTGTTGACGTGGTCCGAAACCTCGTGTGCCACCTGAAGAAAGGCTACATGATCGTCAAGTGCCGGGGTCAGCAGGACATCCAGGACCGCCTGAGCCTGGCCGAGGCGCTGCAGAGGGAGAAGGTCTTCTTTGAAGAACACCCCTATTTCAGGTATGCTTGGCTGTGCCTTGCCAAGGGCCAGTTTGAATAAGGACAGTCCTCCTTACCAGGGAAAATTGCCACTGTCCAAAGTAGGTGCTTGGAGTCTGTGCACTCAAGTGTGCTTGGACCTTGACAATCGCTCTGAGACTTGCCTGGAAGAATCAAAGAGAGGAATTCACAAATGATTGCCAAGGAAAAATGAAAATCAGTCGAAATAAGGAGGGGATCTTACTAAGATCATTTAAATAGTATGATGCTAGAGCAGAAGAAAAATGCAACTATTAACAGAATAGAAAGAAAAGTTAAAAATCCGTAAATAGACCCAGACACATGTATTTGAGATATAATAAATGTAGCATTTCGGATCAGTGGGTTGTATTGGTTTGATCAGTGGTACTGGAATAATCATTTAATAATGGGAAAAACATTTAAATGATGCTTTGTTTCATTCCATTATACCAAAATAAATACCAGTTGGAATTTAAAATTCAATATAAAAAAGAAGCCATTAACAACCAGAAGAAAATGCAGATGAATACTTCTACTTCCTGGGTAGAAAAGACCTTTTTAACCCTCATGCCTTTCTTGGGTCCTTTTGCAGTTTCCTCCTGGAGGAAGGGAAGGCCACGATTCCCTGCCTGGCGGAAAGACTCACCACGGAGCTCATTATGCACATCAGTGTAAGCTTGTGCAGACTGTTCTCTACAAGGAGCCCTGCAGCAGCAGGTTGAGCTGGCCTGTGCACACACACATCGGGGCTTTTGTTAAGATGCAGGTTCAGAGACCAGCAGATGGTGTAATGGTTACATCGCTGGGCTGCATGTAGTCAACCGCGGTTGGAATCATTATGATTCGAACCATGCTTATGACCATAGCTTATGTTTCTAAAAGTTCTGTGTGGTAGTTTTTAAAATCTGCCTAGATATAGTCCCTTACTTTTTCAAGATTTCATTCTTTTTAAATGATTTCTTTGCACACATCTATGCTGTATTCTGTGCTCTGTGATTCCAGTATCAAGGAAGGGTCTGGGTGCACTGGGTTTTGCTGCTGTCACCCAGAATTTTGACTATGACCCAACTCTCTTGGAAGCTGATCATGAGTATCCTTAGAAGTCTAAGTTTAAAATGAGTTTCTCCAGGGAGAGGGAGAGGCAGCATTTGCTTTTGCTGAGCCCTGGGAGAGCCTCCAAGTTGACCCACTTTCACTTTTCTGCTTGAGGTGTTGGAGCCCCTCGGCACCTGTGAATTTGGGCTACAAACCTGTTTGAGGGTCCATGGCTCCAGGTCCTCAGCAGATACTTTAATTTCCCTTCAAGCCGGTGGCAGAGTGCAAGGTTTTCCATGCAGCCCCCAGTGATGCGGTGGAGAGCAGGGTGAGCCAACAGCAATGATGAGTGCAGAACGCTTCGGGGTCCCACCTTTAGGCAGAAAGAGGCTCCTTGTTTATTTCTTGATTCCCACTGTGAGCAAGTGCTCATGCTCAGGCTTTCAAACTCAAGCTCAGGTTTTCTTACCTAGACAAATGTCCTCGCGCTGAATCTGGCTTGTTGCTACCTTTTTCTCAAGTTTCTATGTCGCCCCTGTCGCCTGGCTTTGGCCTCTCTGTATCCCTCATTGATTCAGCAGCCCGCTGAAAATTTAAAGCGGCAATTTTAAACATTTTAGGCAGCATTTTTAGATACTTTAATGGAAGGGTGAGCCAGCTATGTAGCCAACCATATAGTTAGAAGCAGAAATTCTCAATAACTTTTTCTGTGTTCAAAAGAACATAAAAGTTGTTGAATCTCAACTTGTTCCAATTGCCAGTTTTCAAAACCTTCCAGAAAAATGCATCTTTCTAATCTCCCTGCAGAGAACTTAGGTAACATGATCACTTAAGAATTGTTCCTTGGGTTGCTCTTATGCAAAGGGAATGTCTCTGCATGGCTCCTGATAATGTCCGCAAGAGCAGGGAAGTGGGAAAGGTTCTTAACATGCCCTCCCTCCACCTGGAAAATCTTCTTTTTAGAAGAGGCTGGGAGGCATCTTGTACAGCTCCTCTGCAAAGGGAGACCCAGATTGTGTTTTTCATTCCATGCCCACGTTTATAGATTTCCATTGTTTTCTTTATAATCCTCAGAAATCTCTGCCATTATTAGAAAATCAAATAAAGGAGAGTCACCAGAAAATAACAGAGGAATTGAAAAAGTATGGCACAGATATACCAGAAGATGAGAACGAAAAAATGTTTTTTCTGATAGATGTGAGTATTGCCAAATGCATCAGGTTAGAAAATCATCCATTATGATCAACAAAGGGATCATGTGCCTTATGCACTTCTTCCTTCATGGCCCCAGAGCTGATCTCAAGACATTCTGCCCACTTAGTATTAAAAGGGGGAACAGAATTGGGAGACAGTGGGCAGGGTGTGGTGGCCTGTGGAGCATGGAAGAGAGGTGAGGGGGTAGCATGCATTTTATTGGCTCTTTGTCATGAGCATTCACCCAGGATCCTGAAGGTAGTAAGAGAGAAATGGGATTTTCTGGTGTCAAATCCTCTTCTTGCCAGTTATCCCACAGTGGTCCCATAAGGAGGCAAAGAATGACTCCCCCACCCTTAGCATGCACTCGACCTCCAGAACACCTTGACCCTTATATGTTAAGTATCTTCACTTATACTGATTTCTTCTTGATAGAAAATTAACACATTTAATCAGAACATCATGGTTCTAATACAAGGGGAGGAGATTGTGGGGGAGGACGATACCCGGCTGTTCACCAAACTCCGAAATGAGTTCCACAAGTGGAATATCATGATTGAGAAAAATTTCCAAAAAGGTGAGTGTCTTAGTCCATTCAGGCTGCTGTAACAAAATACTTTAGACTGGGTAATTTATACACAGTAAGAATTTAGTAGCTATAGTTTCGGAGTCTGGAAAGTCCAAGATTTCAGCACTGGTAGATTCAGTGTATGACGAGGGCTCAGTCTCTGCTTCAAAGATGGCCAGGTCCTCACACAGCAGATAGGCTCCCCCAGGCACCTTTTATAAGAGCACTAATCCCATTCATGAGGGCAGAGTCATCGTGACCTGATTGTGTTCCAAAGACTCCACCTCTTAATACTACCAAATGGGGACTAAATTTCAACATGTAAATTTGGAGCCACAAACATTCAGAACACATAACGGTCAGTCAGATGACCATCATAAACCGTGAATGTTGAGTTGAGGCAGGAGCATGATGCAGTTGGTGGAGATGACTAGGGAAAAGAATTGGTAGCATAAAAGCCACATTTACTCTGTTTCATATCACTGAACTTGGACCAGCAAGTATCTAGCACTGACTTCCAAGGACACTAGAGAAAAAATGCAAATGAATTGACCCAAATCCGTCATGGCTTCTAGAAAAATCAGTCCACCCCCAATAGCGAGCAGATTAAATGAGACATGCATTGTGCTCTCTGTGTTGTGAACGGTGCTACCCCTGAAATGACCCAGACATAATTCTGGTCCTCGCAGCCTGGCATGTGTCCTAATGGACCTTACCATGGTGGCTATGAGAAGAAAATAAAACAGCATGCTAGGTAGCACCTGTGTATCTTCAAATCCTGAAGAATATGAAATGGTAGAAATTGTGTCCTGAAACCTATTCTTTTAAATATTTCAAAACATGTAAAGGAAAGCACATACCAACCACTGAAAAAGCTGTAGTAGCAGCTGAGGGAGATTTTAAGTAATTTTGTTTTTATTCAAGCAACTCGATAAGGGTCCACAACTTATTTTGGCCAATTAGAGGTTCCCATTAACAGTTTCCTTTGGCTTTCCTTTGGTAATGGATATAAGAAAATAGGTTGTTCAGTCTATTGGCAGTCCAAACCTTTCAGTCCATTTGATCCTTGGCAGAAGGCATAGATGACAGGATGGGATAGAGCACTCCTTGATGGAGAAATGATTGGAAAGCTCATTTCAGGAACAGTGACTCTCCAGGTCTCACTGTCTGCAAGCTGCTTGCCTCTGCTAAGCCTTGGGGGTAGAGGCGACGGCTGTATAGTGTGCTCTCACACCAGGGAGAGCACACAGGGCCCACTCTGCCCGTTCAGAATAAGAGAAAATATTTGCAAATCAGATACTCATTTGGCTTCTAGTATCTGGAAGATATAAAGAACTCCTGCTCCTCAATAATAAAAAGACAATCTAATTAGAAAATGACAAAGAATTCAAATAGACACTGCTCCCAAAAGACCTTGATGGCCAGTATACACATGAAGAGAGATTCATCCTTAGCCACCAGAGAAATGTGTATCCAAACCGCCATGAGTTACTATTTCACAACCCTTAGGATGGCTATGACAAAAAGACAGATGATAACAAGTGTTAGAGATGATGTAGAGAGATTGACATACTCACAGGTTGCTAGTTGAAATGTAAAATGCTGCAGCTGTTTAGGGTAACAGTTCAGCAGTCCCTCCATAAGGTACACTGTGACCCAGAGATTCTACCTCTAGGTTGATACAGAAGAGAAATGAGAAAATATCCATACAAAACACACTCACCAATGTTCATAAGCAGCTGTGTTCATAATAGTTAAAAGGTGGAAACAGCCCAAATGTGCATCAGCTGTCAGAACAAAGTACCACAGGCTGGGTGGCTTAACCAATAGCAATTTGAGTTTCTCACATTCTGAAGGCTGAAAGTCCAAGGTCAAGGTGTGACAGGGTTGGTTCCTCCTAAGGCCTCTCTCTTGGCTTGCAGATGGCATCTTCTCCCTGTGTGCTGACACGATCACTCCTCTGTGTGTATCTGTGTCCGAATCTCTTCTTGTAAGGACACCCGTCCTATTAGATTACAGCCTGCTCTGATGACCTCATTTTGTCTTTCTTCTTTAAAGACCCTGTCCTGAGTATAGTCACATCGTCAGGGACTGAGGGTTAGGACTTCAACATACACATTTTGGGAGGACATAAGTCAACCGATAACACCACGTAGTGGAATGTTTTTGGCCATAGAAAAGCACAAAGTACTCACACATGCTATGGCATGGATGAACCTTGAGAACACCACACTAAGTGGAAGAAATCAGTCACAAAATACAACATAGGGGGACCAGCAGTTAGTGTAATGGCTATGTTGCTGGACTCCCATGTAGTCAACCGCTGTTCGTGGCCTGGACCTGGTGACTTAAACCCACGCCAGGTGCACGTGCGTGCGTGCGTGCCCAAGATTCCGAGAGGAGAACGGAGGAGAAGGGATTGCGGCATGGCCATCCCCCCTGGGGGGGTGATTTCTCGCTTTCTCTCTGTCTCTCTCTGTCTGGCAAGCACACACGCTCTATAGCAAAAATCTCTCAAAACAAAAACAAAAACAAAAACAAAATACAACATAAAGGGCACACAGTATTGGGTAAAGAAAACATATTCTATTATGGTATAATTTCTTTGATAAACATCAGATTTGATTTATAGAAGTTCACACTTCAGTACCTTTTAGAAATATGACTTACTCTAATATTTTTTGCCTGTCCTAACCTCCCTCTGGCTCTGCGTTTGCCATATTGAGATGACTAAGGAAAATTATGTTGAGCTCTGTTTCGAGCTCTGTTTCTTTATTGCAATCCTTGAATACTTTTCCATCTGTAGATCAAACTTGATTTGGTTTTACTTTTTTTTTTTTTTGCCAATCACATTTTCAGAAAATCTAGAATGGTGGTGTGTTTAGAAAAAAATCCTTCAGGGCTGGCAGGTGGTGTGATGGTTAAAGCCACTAGGTTCTCTCATGGCTGACCATGGTTTGAATCCTGGACCTGGCAGCTTACTCTCTCACTTTCGCTTTCTCTCTCTCTCTCTTTCTCTGTTTGGTCAAATTAAATAATAATAATAATAATAATAATAAATGGAAAGAAATCAATCTTTAAAAAAAGAAAAACCTTCAAGTTAATTTTTATAAAATCATTAGAAACTTATTTCCTACTGCAGGTTATGATTTAATACGTAAAAAGATCTGGAAATTTGAAAACCAGTATCGTGGCCGAGAGCTGCCAGGATTTGTAAATTACAGGACATTCGAGTCAATCATAAAAGAGCAAATCAAAGCACTGGAAGAGCCAGCCATAGACATGCTGCACACGGTGACTGGTGAGTTCATGGGTCAACTGTGGACATTGTATGGCTAGGGTGAGAGACGTTTGAATGAAAGCCAGTGCCAGTCTTCACGGGCCTCCTCTTGGGGTGTCTTCCCTACTAGCCACCCAGTCTCTAGTTCTCCAGACACTGACTGTGGTCAGCAGTTGAGGTCAAATCTGATGCTAATTACCTAGAATCAGTGCAGACCCTATAGCTGAAGGCTTGGCACCCCATGACACTCCCCGACTGCATATGCCACTCCAAGTTTCAGACCTCCCATGACATTCTGTAAATCTTGGTTTCTGTGACCCTCTCTTTAGGTTCCACGATTGGACAGAACAGTTCATAGAACTCAGGAACACGTTTTATGATAGGTTCTAGTTAATTATCAAGGATGCAGATGAATGGCCAGGTGAAGAGGTCTTTGTGGGGAGATCAGGTACTTCTGTCCCTGTGGAGTTGGGGGCTGCCAGCCCCAACCCAGGGATGTTTTCCAACCCATAAGCTCCCAGACCTCTGGTTTCGAGTTTTTATGGAGACTTCAAGTAGCCATCATTAAATCAGTTTCCAGTCTCTCCCAAAGCTTTCCACTGAAGGTAGCCTCGGGTCAGAAAATGATGCTTCCACTACACAGGAAATTCTAAGGGATTTGGGAGCTCTGTGTCAGGAAGCGGGGACAAAGACCAAACAGAGATTTCATATCTGCCACTCCTCCCACGCTCCGCTGCTGTGGTTACTGCATGTCGCCTGTTGACTCAGGATGTCACGTCAAGAAACTAAATAACCATTATTGTGGAAGTGTCCCAGGCACCCACAGTGCTGCAGGAGTCTGGGAGGGGTGCATGTGTTGTCACGGGCCATGGAGGAAAAGTGCGTTGACTCTTGGCCCTTCTCGAAGTGCTCAGCTTCCCAGGCGTGTGCTTTCTATGTCTGAATCTCCTCTCCTTGCCCCTTTTTTGACTGTCAGCCTCCTCACTCAGACTTTAGAGGTCTTGTTGAGTGATAAACAATGATCATTTTTCATAAACTCAGCCTTTGGGACGGCCTCTTGGCCTTGTGATCAGGGGAGCTGGATCCCAGATGGCTGATCCCAGTTTGAATCCTGGGCCCAGCAACTTGTAAAATACTCTGGGCACATGTATGTGTGTGCCCAAATGCCCAACCAAAAGGAGAAATAGAGGAGAAGGGATTGCTGTGTGACCATGCTTCATTGCAGGGTGCTTTCTCCCTCTCCCTCCGTCTCTGGTGAGCACACATACCACATGGCAATTTGAGAAAAAAAAAGAAAACCAGAAATCCCTCAGACTTCAATGGTCTCATTTTAGCAATAATCATTAATGGATTCATCTTTAAAAAAAAATAGAATTATTTACTTAATGTTATTTATTCATTCATTTATTTTTAATTTGACCAGACACACACACACACACACACACACACACACACAGGGGAAGTGAGGAAACAAGCCATCAGTTCTGGGACTTGAACTGTGGTCAGCCATGTGGGAGTACCCAGTACTTTAACCACCATGCCACCTTCTGGCCACTGAATCCATCCTTTTAATTTGAAAGAACTTCCAGTTTTCAAGGTTAGATCTACATATTCCATCTGGCAAAAACCAAAACTTCACAGCTAACTTTGGAACATTTTCCAAACCAACGAAGTAAGCAGAAGTGTGGGGGGGAGAAGTATGCCAGAAGATCTGGTCACTCTTCGAGATTATTTGTGGGGATGTTTCAGGTGAGGATTAGGGAAGAAAAAGCTGTATGTGTGTGCGCGTGTGTGTATGTGTGAGTTCAAGGCCCTACATCTTGTCTACCTATTACTTTTTATAAAATAGTTAAAGTGTAAGTTAAAGAAAATGCTTGGAGTTTTGCCTGGACTAGTGAGAGTTGGTGCAAAAATGTCATGTGTGTTTGCATAAGGGTCAGATGACCACCCACTAAAGGAGAAGTAGTTAAATAACATGGGTCTGTGGGCATTTTTTAAAACGTGAGCTATTTGCCCCCCCCCTTTTTTTAATGGATGAAAACTTAATTTCCTACAGCAGCTATTTATTTCCAGATCAATACACACAAAGATGAAGATACCTTTCAGATAAATTCAAAGTGCATGCACACACACACTTTCATTTTTAAGTTTTGCTACAGGTACATGGTCTGGCACAGGGAGATGGAGAGAGGGAAAGTGAGAAAGCAACCTGAGGGGATCCCAGCAATTTGGCCTTTCTAAGATATAACTTTAGTTCTTAGATGTTTTCTTTTTCTTGCCTTGTTTTTTTTTTTTTTTTTTTTTTTAATTTTTGTTTTTTTTTTCT